AGCAAGGCCATAGCTAGAGACATTGAGGGACAATGCCCTACTTTAAAGCACCCAATACCTTGAAAGATCCCAAGAAAATTAGACAGATTCGCTTTTTCGAAGTCACTTAATTATGGCTTCTGCTCCACCGAAAAGTTTTTTGGCCTTACCTTGAACATGAGTCTAACTACGGCCCTAAATATTAGACATTGAATTTAAAGGACAAAACTTGTTTCTTTTTTAAATAAAAAATGTGTAACAAAATGTGGTTAAAAAAACAACATCAATGAGATTATTTTGTACATTGCCAGCCAATTATTACTATTATTGATAAATATATAAATATCATTATTGAATGTTATTCCATTCGATGCAGCTAGAATATGAGGGTGTTGCGAAAAGGCATTTAATACAAATAGTGCCGCAATGAGCTCAATATTGGTTTACTCACCAAACAGTGCGGACGTGTCGTGCGTGCGTCATAGTCTTAAATTAATCTATACATAGCTATACGGACAGAAATAGAACTCGTTAGTGGTCTGTTTTATTTATAGAACTGAGAAAAAAATAAACTAAGACTCTACACATGTTAGAAAACTTATTGGAACAAGTAGGTTTTGAATCAAAATTTTTAAAAAGACAAATAAATGTGAGGATACCATACTAATTCTCGCTGCATTAAAGAGGGAGTTTAAAACTTTTCAACGTATTTCAAAAATAATAAGGTTCTTTGTATAATTGGTTGTATTTAATAACCATATGTATTAACCAGAGGGAGACTTTGTACAAAAGTCGATTGCTTGGGTACCTCTGTCCCATTCGTGTTTCAACCGTGAAGCAGTTGTGTTTGCATGGCCGTGTTTCGGTTTGAAGGGTAGGATATGGCGTGAACTAACTGGGTACAGAGGAATAACACCTGAGTCCTCAGGAATGGCAACGCATGGGGGGTATCATGGGCGAAACAGTATACTCTGTTATGTCCATGGTACTGCTCATGTCTATAGGCGACGGTTACCACTTTCCATCAGGTGGGTCGTCAACTTGTTTGCCATTCTAAATTGCATAAAAAAAATGTTTATGTTTGTTACCTCATAAAGCCGTCAAATCTAAACCCTTTTGGAATGTCTTTTTATCTGAAAGGATATGCTTACACAATCTATAAGTAATGGTAGACAATGTAACTACAATTCATTTCGACAAATCGAATCGTAAAAATATTTTTCTGTCGACTTCAAAAGAAGGGGAAGAAATTCTCAATTCAATTGAATGTTTATTACCTCATAACTCAGTTTTTTTTGTTGGGTGAAAATGGTATGGTAACCCCGCCTGCGCTAACGGGATACGCTGGCGGAGCACCAGTGAAGGGTGATAGATGAGAATGAAAACAGGCTAGTTAGCCCATCATGATGAATTCATGAGGAATTAACCATGATAGTTTCCAGGGAGAACCGCGAGGAGGTCGACCTGGTTGGCTAAATTGCTAGCAATGGGATTCTCAGTCTCCATTACTAACAATCCCTTTCCCCACATCTAGTCCGTTCAGTAGTTTTAACGTGAATTAGTAACAAACAGAAATCCCTTTTGCTTTTATAATATTAATAGGTTTAATTTCCGGATGGTAGGTGGTGGCCACTTAAAAAGGCGCATATATATACTCCCAGACACGTCTTTGCGTTGGGGCGTCTTGGCGTTAGCAATGGGGACTAACCCCCCATTACTAACAATCCTTTCCCTCCTGAAAATACAGGTCAGTGAGCTTCACGTGATAAATTCACTTGAAACTGAGTACGATAGTTTCCAGGGGGAACCGCTGGGAGGTCGATCTGACAGGGTTTATTGCTAGAAATAGAGCTAACAATCTATTTCCCTCTCCCGGTAAAATGTGTAGGTGATAATTATTACTTTCCTTTAGGTGGGTCGTCAGCTTATTTACAATTCTAGTGTAAAAAAAATTATGCCGCTGTACGCAGAAATTATATATAACACCCTTTATAACGGTTGGTCGCTAAAATTTTGCTACCTTTCACTTTCGCCTTTTATTTTTTGGTTGGGTTTAAAAGTCTTAAATGGTTTATTTAGAACTGTAAATGCGGGATTTTTTTACGCAACTTAGAATGGTAACTAAACTGACAACCCACTTTATCGAAAGTAACCGTCACCTATAGACATGAACAGTACTATGAATATAATCTGTTATATTCATAGTACTGTTATGCCAATGATACCCCCCCTTTCGTGGGGGGAAGAGATTGTTAGTAATGCGCACTACCAGTCCCATTGCTAGCAATATACGCTTTTAGGTCGACTTTCACGTGGTTTCCCTGGAAACCATCGTGCTGAATTCCAGGTGTATTAACCACGATGGCCTTTTCATCCTCATCTACTATCCCTTACTGGTGCCCCGCCAGGGTATACCGTTAGCATCGGCGGGATTGCCATTCCATTATCATCCATTACTCCCCAATGCTTTGCCATTTTTTTTATACAACTTAGAATGGCAAACAAGCTGACGGCCCACCTGATGGAAAGTGGTAACCGTCGCCTATAGACATGAGCAGTACCATGGACAACAGAGTATACTGTTTCGCCCATGATACCCCCCATGAGTTGCCATTCATGAGGACTCAGGTGTTATTCCTCTGTACTCAGTAAATTTACGCCATATCCCACCCTTCAAACCGAAACACAGCCATGCAAACACAACTACTTCACGGTTGAAACTGCCATTCCTGAGGACTAATGTGTTATACCTCTGTACCCTGTAAATTCACAACTTCTTCTCCTTCTCGAGATATTACTTATCTATAACTTCTCAATCACTCAGATTGAGAAGTTATAGATTGAGAGACGTGAGTTTTTAAACTATAAACACAATAGAATTTGAATGTTAAAACTCCCGGTTTAACTTATGTGTAATTATATCAAAAAAACTATTTTTTTTTTACAACACAAGGGGCAAACGAGCATGCGGCTCACCTGACGGTAAGTGTCTACCGCTGCCCATGATCACTCACAACATCATCATCAACTCAGGCATTGCAGGTGTGCTGCCGGTCTTTTAAAAAGGAATATGCTCTTTTCTTGTAGGTTACGATGTCATATCGGTTCGAGAATACTGCTGCTGGAAATTGATTCCAAAGAGTGGTTGTGCATGAAGGAAAGTGCCTTGAAAAACGCACGGTGGAAGACTAGTGGCAATAACATGGCAGACGAAGAGGAAGACCACGGAGACCTGCCGTTCATACCCAAAGAGTTCCGATCGCCGTCTTTCTTATCTGTGACGATGCCGCAAGCGCCTACAGCTCGCACTCAGCCGGCCGAGGCGCGCAGTCAGACTCGTGCTAGCGCAGCCGCTCATGAGTAAGGATCACAAGTTGATTCCGAAACTAGTCGAACTTTTTCGATCTAATTGCATGTGAGTGTACTACAATGTGTTCTTATGGAACATTTAACAGCAACAAGATTTGGTTTTAAATCCAAATGCAAAATTCGCTTTTCTTATGAAAAAAGTTAATAATCCGAATTGTGATGTTTGTAACACATTGGATGATGTTCACCATATGATATCTGAATGTACGAAATACAAAACACAAAGGGAAGTATTAATACAGAAATATAGTCTCAATAGACAGGAGATTGGTTTATTTTCAAATATACTCGCAGAACCACATTCCGGAATGGCAAAATCTTTAATTACTATATTTTTGTATCAATAATTCCCTTTATCAAAATAGACTACTAAGATATTATGTATTATTTATTTATGTATCAATGTTTTAAGTATGTGAGGTATTTTATAAAATTAGGGTATGATGAGGCTGACATATCCTTATAGGATAAAAGCCTCTAAACAAAAAGATAAAAAACAAATCCACTGTTATTCCCAGTACTTGTAAAAAACGCGTTACCCAGAATCTGTTCTGTGATACGAAAGTTCAACGTTGCCATAAAATTGAAAAGCAAACGCGGTGGGAGCAGCAATTAAATTCCACATTCTCTGTGCGTTATAGATTTCTGCTGGTGACAGGTCACTAAGCCAAAAAATAATAAAATGTAACTGCGTTTTAAAAAAAAGAAAAAAAAAACGGTAAAAACTATCAATGCTGTACCTCTCTACTATTATATCTATCTGTAAATTGGCTGTGTGGTCCCGGCATAGAATAGACTACCCCTTTCTTTAGTTGCCACGTTTGGCAGGCGGATTGGCAACCGCAGTTAGGGCTTTAAGAATGTTTTAAGTGGAACGCTGCTGTCCATCCTTCGCCCTTTTTTTAAATAAATGATATTGGAAAAGTACCCTGCATATGCTGTCGCTATATGCTGATGGGGCAATAGTGAGGGATGATGGGTGAGGAAAAGGTAAGGTCGTGAGGAGTTAACCACGATGATTTCTAAGGGGAATCGTTTGGAAGTCAATCTGTTAATTTACAGTGCCAGCTATGGGGCTATTAGATACCACTGCTCCCTCTCTTTTCTTCCCATGTTGTTTTTTTTATACAACTTACAATGGCAAACAAGCTGACGGTCCACTTGATGGAAAGTGGTAACCGTCGCCTATAGACATGAGCAGTACCATGGACATAACAGAGTATACTGTTTCGCCCATGATACCCCCTATGCGTTGCCTTTCCTGAGGACTTAGGTGTTATTGCTCTGTACCCTGTAAATTCACGCCATATCCCACCCTTCAAACCGAAACACAGCCATACAAACACAACTGCTTCACGGTTGGAACACGAATGGGACAGAGGTACCCAAGGAATCGACTTTTGTACAGTCTCCCTCTGGTAAAATGTAGGACATGTTTACCTGTACATCAAATTTATGTTCAATAGAATATAATCATTCTTAAATAAAGACCGTTGGAATTTTGATCCCTTTGCAAAGAATGTAATATGAACAGTATTTTCCTTTTATTCTTTACAAAAGAGGAGATTTTTTTTTTATATTTTAGAAGGTTCTTAACAGAAAAAAAAAACATTAATGACGTCACTAAATAAATCAAAACAATATGACGATCAATAAGTTTATTTATTCCCTTAACTTTTTACCTATTTACACAACCGTATCCAATTATTTCAAGAACTATTTGAAACAAATTCTCTTATATAATATTAATATTAATTATACAACTTAATGTAAACTTAATTATATATGTTTTTACTATAATTACATTTATATAATTATGTACCATATTTTTATTTAATAACTCTCAATAGTTATTTAAAGTATAACGTAATCTATTCTAATGTTCTTTTTTTAAATTTAAATGCATACAAATTAATAAAACAAAGTGTCAATTTAATACTTATCTATATTTATTTTATTTACAATAATATTTATAAAACAAAATCATAGCTGAAGTTACACTTCAAAGTTAAACACGTGTCGCCATATTGAATGAGAAAACCATAGATTAATGCGAATCTATGATCTGTGGTATGATATATGTCCCATAAAATTTCCATGTAATATCAAATACACATAATAATCGTAATGTGGTGTAACAAAATTTGTTCCTGTGCTTCAAATTAGGATTAACTGTAAATCGGAACCCAGAATAGAACACACGTGGAGTCCAGTCAAAAAATCCTAGACAGAAATTTTCAAAATATAATTTCTAAATGTAACCAATTGAGATTCAAAGATGGGAAAGTTAGTATACATTTTATGTACACTAATCCTTGTGAGTAAAATTGATTAATATTTTTTTTTAATAATTAGGGTGGCAAACAAGTAGATGGCTTACCTGATGAAAAGTCGTAGCCGTCGCCTATAGACATGGACTGCTGTTCATGTCTATAGGCAACGATTCTGTGGCATCGATGGTATTCCATGGATGTCACAGAATACACTGTGATGCCCATAATCACTCTCATCCTTTGCCATTTATCAATCACGTAGTTTACGAAATTGTGACTAGTTATCTTTTTTTTTTATGGTACAAACGACAAAAAATCTGATTTCTAAGTATTATTTTCAATAACCGACTTTAAAGAAAAAATATGACGTCGTCCATTTAAAGACGTCGCTATTGTCATTTTTCCCATTAGCGTTTTACACGATTCTTTTATTCGTTACTATATTACTATTAATGTAAATCTGCGTACAGCCTTATAAACTGAATATGAAATTCTTGTACCATTGGAAAAGCTTCCACATACTGCTACTGCTCTGTGGTTATATCATGAACTGAATAGATTTAACTAAAGCCGCTTGCTAAGTCGCACAACTCATGCAAACTTAAGTACGATTTACATAGAACGGCGCACGTCACTAGGCGTCATAGCGCGTCGGATCGGAAACGCGGATTTATCGACTAGACACTGCCCGCTTGAACAAGAACATTAATGACCACTGAATAAGAGAGTAACTGAATATGTACATAACTTATAGTGTTTCTATGATAAATATTTCATGCAATCGAATTTTAAATTTATAATCCATTCGTTTTTCAACCGTGACGCAGTTGTTAAGTTTGAAGTGTAGGATATGACGTGAATTTACAGGGTGCAGAGGAATAACACTTACGTCCTGAGGAATGGCAACGCATGGGAGGTATCACGGGCGAAACAGTATACTCTGTTATGTCCATGGTACTGCTCATGTCTATAGGCGACGGTTACCACTTTCCATCAGGTGGACTGCCAGCTTGATTGCCATTCTAAGTTGTATCAAAAAAATCCTATAATTTTATTTATAGCTTCGAAAAAGTGCTCTGATGTGCGTTAACGCACTCCGTTCGATGTAAATCGTTAGATGGTTTGACACTAGAATATCAATCTAAGTTAGATATTCATTCGCAAAACGAACATCTACTATGATCTTGTGAATGGAAGCCGCGTAGATCTATCAACAATAATTTCTCATTTACAGGCATTCCGAATTTATGGCTATGTACCTAGCTTATAAATGCGATATCTTTTTGGTCATATTTGTTGGTACCAGTCATATTTTTAGACATACGACTAGCAAACAAGTCGACAGCTCACCTAACGGCTTTCCATAACTGTGTACAAACTAAAAATAACACCGTGAAACACCGAGTATTTACTTGACGACCTTCGTGGAACACCATAAAATATAAGGTGAATCTAACACCATAGCCTTTTAACATACCACCTTGGCTTGCGATGGTCGTGGATTTTATCCTTGTAGGCAATTTTTTTTTTATTTTCTTGATATCTGTATCAGTCTGGGTATTTTGTTAATGGCATTATTATGCATGGCCACACCTAAGGGTTTTCACTACACAGAACTATCGGGTTTGTTATTACATTGTTTCCTTAGTGGTTAAATGTTGCTATGAACTTGATAACTGCTATTTTATTACACCTACAGTAGGTTGGTTTTAGTCACGCGAAAGTCACGAGGTTGATTCCCGTGATACGAGAACTGTGTCCATATTACATTCTGATAGATATCATTGTTAACTTTTACAATTATGTGTTTATTTTTGTAACCAGCTTTAGTTAAGAAGGTCTCGGGATCAGTAAAGTTCTAACTTGCCCCACATACCCATTAGTCCCGCCATTTTAAGGACGAGTAGGGTTATACATTTATAGTATATAAACCTTCTAGTTCCATAACAAACAAACTTTTTATTTAATAAGTTGTCTTTAAGATATTTATTTGTAAACTAGACAACAAAATAAAATAGAAACTATGATAATGTGCATTAAAAATAGTGTAAATTGATTCTTTTCAGGGTTCAATGGGTATCAGTTTTGGGGTGAATTGTATTATTTAGTGTTAAGGGGCAAAATGTGGGTTCAATGTTCCCGAGACCGCGGAGTCAGGTCACATGGTGATTGGCTGCCGTGACGTCGTAAAGTGAACAGAAAACCGCTTATCACTAGCAGCCCATAAGAGTCACTATGACGCTGAGGAGCGCCGCAGACAGTGGGTACTGGAGACGTAGCTGACCTCCGTGCTGCATAGCAGCTGGGTGTTCACCTGTAAAGAAACAGTTATTTAGTAATGTAAAAATTTAAAGATTTCTTGTTGTGCACGGCGCACAATAATATACTACCCTAACTTTAAACCCTTTGGGGGGAAAGGGATTGTTAATAATAGAGACTGTGAATCCTATTGCTAGCAATATACCCAACCAGGTCGACTTCCTCGCGGTTCCCCCTGGAAAATATCATGGTTAATTCCTGATAAATTCATCATGATTGGCTAACTGGCCTCTTTTCTCATCTATCATCCTTCACTGGTGCTCTGCCAGTGTATCCCGTTAGCGCAGGCTGGGTTACCATACCATCATTCACCTATCAAAAAAAACCTTTAAACCTCTATTGCTAGCAAATTGCTAGTAGCAATATACCCTAACAGGTTCGCACCATATCGCGCGGTTCTCCCTGAAAACCGATGTAAAAAATTCCTAATGACAAATCACGATGAACCGACTGACCTGGCTTCTTCCTCGCCTAACATCGTTCACTAGTGCCCTACCAGCGTACACCGATAGCACAGGTGGAGTTATCATTCTATTATCATCCCATAAAAATACCTTTAGACCCTAAAGGTCGTAAATTCGACTTTGGTCGAAACCAGAATCTTTGTAACACAAAAGATCACGTTGAAAATGAAACAGGGAAAATGGTAAATTCGCCCCCTGCCAAATGTGAGCATGTTGAATGTTTGTCCCATGGACATAATCAATCATGTTCGTGTGTATAACCCTAAATAAAAATTAAACTTAATTATAAGCATTTTTTAATAGATCTTTATGAATCTAAAGCGGCTCCTATTAACACTAAAATGAAATGTTTTTTTTTCTTTACTACTGTTGTTTTTTTTTTTTAAATAAAAGTTGAGTTTACAAAAAAAAATACGTAATAATGGATAAAATGACTATCACAAACTTCATGTTGATAAAAAGCTAAAATCAGTCACAATATTCTTTAATAGATCAGATTTTTTTTAATGGATGATAATGGAATAGTAAAGCCGCCTGCGCTAACGGTATACGCTGGCGGGACATCAGTGAAAGTTGATAGGTGACGATTAAAGCAGGTCAGTTAGCCCATTGTGATGAATTGCACATTCCAGGGGGAACCACGTGGAGGTCGACCTGATAGGGTATATTGCTAGCAATGGGGCAGTTACACTTCATTACTAACAATCCCTTTCCCCTTTAATAGACCGGATTGAGATTTCAACTTTATTCCTTGGGACGAATTGATCTTCGTAATTTCATTGAGTTTTAGCTTAATATATCTTTTACGTCTAACCCTGTATAGAGCAGTAAAATTACGTAATACACGACGCCATGTCTTTTACTGGTGACAGAGTACATTGACCTTGAAGTGTCTTTTTAACTGACTGACGAAGTTTTATGCATGGGGTTCTTTAAAAAAGAGGTAAAGAGATTTCTTCAAGATCAGCAACGCACACGTTAGACTCCTGGTATAGCCGGCGTTCAGAGGCTACGGTAACCGCTTATCAGGTGAGCCGTATGTTTGTTTGGTAGTAGTAGTAGTTTAAAAAGAACTTAGAGAAATGCTACTTAATAAAAGCAATTAAGACATAAATAGTTATATGTATAATAAAATAAAGGCCAAATATAATTGTAAATAAGTTACTAATTACTATACGTGTATTTTTATAAACTACCTACATACTGTTAAAATAATATTTTTTTAAACAACTTAGAATGGCAAACAAGCTGACAACCCACTTGATGGAAAGTGGTAACCGTCACCTATAGACATGAGCAATACCATGGACATAACAGAGTATACTGTTTCGCCCATGATACCCCCCATGCGTTGCCATTCCTGAGGACTCAGATGTTATTCCCCTGTACTCAGTAAATTCACGCCATTTGCACGCTAATACAGGACAGAATATAAAGGGACTAGGGAATGATAATACACTTATGTACCATCTTTTCCGTAAATAAAGTAATTGATGGACGAAATAAACTTCATTTCAAGGTACCTACTCATGCAGATATTTGTACAATCAGTCACAGAATTCGCTGCACATAATTTCTATTCAAAAAATTCTATACATTAATGCAAAAGTATACCATAAATGACCGATCAAATTATGTCACCCTACATTGTAAAAGTTGATTACTCAGATATGATATAAATTGCTAAATGTCATTTGCCACATTATTAAATTCACAGTACTAAAAACAAAAGTCGCTGTAAATAATTTATTCGCAACATTTTCAAAAGAGTTATTTCTTAAAATCTGTGGAAGAAATACAAATGTGTAACTTATTATTTATTTATTTATTACATCCACTGGGTGAGCCTTACAGTCTTCCAATACGCTCACCCAGGAAAGCATGAGTAGGTACAATAACATATAAAAAGGAATATTACACAAAAATAACAAAAATAATATAAAAAGATTTAACTGAAACAAAAAACGTCTGAATACAAATACTCTGTGATCACTCGACGAAATTCCAGCAAGTTGGAGGCAAATATATCCAATTGCGGATACCGGTTTAAAATATCATTGAGTAGTTTCAATGCAAGAGATAGGGGAGCCTGAAATCAGCAGTAATCTGTTTACTGTTGAACACAGGCCCTCCTTTGGCTGCCATAAGAAATGGCAGCCAAGCCACCTGCATATACTGACTCCCTGTAGAGCATCTGAAGTCGTCACACCAATTTGTAGGGTAACGAACGTACGGATTAGCCATTTCAAAACCCTTACTTTTTTTATACCACTTAGAATAGCAAACAAGCTGACGGCCCACCTGATGGAAAGTGGTAACCATCGACTAGACATGAGCCGTACCATAGACATAACAGAATATACTGTTTCGCCCATGATACCCCCCATACCTTACCATTCCTGAGGACTCAGGTGTTATTCCTCTGTACCTTGTAAATTTACGCCATATCCCACCCTTCAAACCGAAACACAGCCATGCAAACACAACTGCTTCACGGTAGAAACACGAATGGGATACTTGCCCATTGGTTGTTAGTTCTTGAAGTCCATTGCCATTTCAGCTTAATTATAGATTTCACTTCATCATCATCATCTCCATAGACTATCATTAACGGTGCATCTACTGACTCTCTGCAATTGAGGTTCACTCCATTTAGATAGATAGAGTCTTTGTTACCAACAATAATAGTTAAAAAAAAACAATAAAAAAGAAAGAAAAACACTGATTTTACTGGTTGCTGGAACCGCCTCACCTGTTGCTATATATGCACACCTTCAGCGAGATGTACCTATATAGCGCTGATTTTCAGGCGGCCCCTTAACTCATTTTTTTGGCATTTGTGCGGGTCACCAATACTAAAATTTAATAGAAAGACATCCTAAACTGCATTTGCTTATACGAGGTAGCCACTTAAGTATGTTTCTTCCCACTAGTTGACTTAAAAACTACAAAAGAACAAAGTCTCCCTCTGGTATTTTTTATGCAGTCGTATATTTCGTCGATCTGTTATTATTAAACAATAATTAAAAAGTCCAATTGGATTCTTAGTTATAAAACGACTTTCATATCACCCTGTATAATTGATTTCCATTAATTTTTTTTATTACGCGTTGACGTAGAAACACAAGTTTCAAATTCCCCGTAAGAAATGTATAATATTAAAAATAAGTTTATTTACGGCTATAATTGAAAAACAATGTTCCAAGAAATTGATTATCGGTTCTGTAAATTGCTTTTGTCGACACAAAAACGTTTAATATCGATAATTATTTGACGGGTAATTAATAAATTACGTGGTTAATTAATTATTTACCTTTATCCGCAACAAAGAATTGATAACTTGAACGGGACGAGTACGGTTTTAACTTTATGGTGTTCGACGCAAAATAAAAGTGCTAACGCGGCTTATTTTATCGAGAGTTTTGCAGCAATTCTTGGCTTTGCTGACGTTTGTATAAAATACAATTTATAACATAAATTGCCATGTATAAAAAATATTAGGGATAAGATGAACAATTCTATTTGACTTTGTACAAAAGTCGATTGCTTGGGTACCTCTGTCCCATTCGTGTTTCAACCGTGAAGCAGTTGTGTTTGCATGGCTGTGTTTCGGTTTGAAGGGTAAGATATGGCGTGAATTTACTGGGTACAGAGGAATACTGAGTACAGTATGAGTAGAGAGTAGAGTGTATACAGGAACACCCGAGTCCTCGGGAATGACGACGCATGGGGGTATCATGGGCGAAACAGTATACTCTGTTATGTCCATGGTACTGCTCATGTCTATAGGCGACGGTTACTACTTTCCATCAGGTGGGCCGTGAGCTTGTTTGGCAAATAAGTTCTAAGTTGTATAAAAAAAAATGATAATATTTACACCTCAGTATTTTCGTTTGCTGATTATTTATTTGTTTAGAATTATTTTGTTTAATTCTACTACCATTAGTATTTGTGTGACTACCAACTCTCGAAGACTGACTATCATTACTACCAGACTATTTCCCACATTAGTTCTCAATCTCAAACTGCAAAGTTTGGGTGCCAAACGGTTAACACTAGGCTCCGAACAACGATCTAATAATTTACCTGAAGATGCCTCGTTTAGAGGTGAAACAAGTGTCACTAAATATACGTGGAGAAAATGGTGGTCGGAAATTGAGGACTAATATGGAAAGTTGTAGCACTTCTAGTAGTAATGATTGTGATCAATCTTCGAGTGTAGGATGTCGTACACATACTATTGGTAACGGGTTTAAACAGAATAACTCTAATCAAGTAACCGGCAAGATAACGCCCATTTCAGTAGAATATCTATTTATTATGTCTAAAAAGTACATCTACCCTTGCGAAGCGGTACCGGATCATTTGTATGTTATATACCTTAAGAAAATTAAGTCTGTTTTCGTGTAAGGATTTAAGGAATTCCCTACACTTATCCCAGTCATTCAGTTTCGGCTGATAACAAATCGCCGAGCTAATCGCGACGAGATCGTTCGCCACGATTACCTTTCGGTGACGCGGATGTAAGGATAAGCGAATTTAACGAGCATCGTCTGAAGCACGATCAAAGGGAACGATTTATATAATACAGCTTACTGTGTCCTGTGGAGACTACAACATGGGGTTCTTTAAAAGGGGGGTAAAGAGGTTTCTTCAGGGTCGGCAACGCACGCGTATTACCTCTGGTATTGCAGGTGTTCATAGGTTACGGTAACCTTACCATCAAGTGGGCCGTATGCTTGTTTGCCACCTAAGTGGTATAAAAAAAGCATATAATTTAGGGAAAGATACAAGGTTGCCGAAGATCGAAGCCCGCCGAATCTCCTGGTTAAAAAAAATTTCAGGATGACGATGGATAAAGTAAAGATCGCCATCACTATATTCGATTTTAAGGTTCTCAACAAATAATAAGCATGTCGAGGGTTTTTTCCATGTAGTGATAATGAAGTAATAACTCAGCCTGCACCATTGTTACATGCTGGAATGACACTAGTGAGGAATAATAGATGAGAATAAAATCTGATCAACTGAGGAACTACAGCATTGAATGCTATTATTTTATTCATAATTTCTGCCCAAAATTTCGAAAAAATATCCAATTTGACATCCGTCTATAAGCTACGTGGTAAGTACCTGACAGGATATATTGCTAGCAATGGAACCATTGGACCCAATTACTTCTCCTGCATGTCGAGTATTACATAATCATATTTACCACAACGGAAACAGTTAACATATGCCTCCGACTACCTCATTAGAAATTACTGCCGTGAGCATATTTCATTTTATACTACTCCAGTACTATCCTAAGACTGAAATGTTCACGTAAAGATAAGGACCTTTGCGCAAAATTGTCTTTACTTTCGTGCACAAAAGTACTTATTTCTGGCCTGAAGCAGTAAAGTGTATAAAGCGTTATTATATTCTGGTTTCAAGGACTGAAAGACAATGCAGTTTTTGATATATGGAACAAAATTCCATAGTCAACAGGAAGTAAGGAGATGTTTTCCTGTTATCCTTTACTAGCTGTAACCCATAGCTGCGCCAGTTATCGTATTGGCCTATTTTCCTCAAGAACAAGCTATCAAACATAAAAAGAATTTTTCGAATACGATTGATAGTTTCAGAGATTAACGCGTTCAAGCAAACAAATGACTCTTCGGATTCATTATACTTTATCCATAATTAGCGATATAGGATTTCTATTTTGTAAGGGACGGGTGGAAAGGAACCATTATTATTGTCATGGTGAATTAGTAAATTTGTCACATTGAGTCGACTGGTCTGAATCTGACGACGCTCTTGCGATCGTTCCTACTCTCCATCAGCTTTTTTACACTATCATTTTACTATCCTTGCTCCAAGTATTTAGTTGTTTCCGCAATCATTTATGCATTTACTCCCATTCTGACTATATCATCTTTCACATAGTCCATCTATGTATTTTTAAGTCTCTTTATTTCCTTATAATCGTCTTTATTTATACTTTACCTTTCTTCAAATATGCTCTTCATATCAATCATTACCATTCATCATTTACCATTCTTAATAATAAAAAAAATTGTATCATTTTTATTTTTATTTTTATTGGTATTCTTCTGTTACATGAAACCACTGTCAATTACCAAAAAATGGAAATTAGTTTAAGATACTTACCACTTAGAACATGGACGAGAACTGATCGAGGATTGGCATTCGCTGGCGCGCAGGTATACCTGCCAGAATCAGGAGCCTTCGCTCTCTGCACCAGGAGATGAGACGTGGTCGTCTCACCTTTCTCCGTGATCACGGACACTCCACCGCGGGGAGAATCGTAGTTGATCTCCTGAGAAAGAAAATTAATTATTTACTAAACTGACTACTTTAACTTCTTGAGGAAAAACAAGATTATGTGTAAATAATTAATTGGGTATTCGGTATAAGACTTTGGAAGGTGATGGATAGAATGATATAAGTTGTTAAAACCCAGATTAAAACGTACAGACCAGAAGATCTCTCCAATCTCATCCATTTCAATCTAATCATAAAGTCAATGATAATTTTATATTGCGTACATTTTTTTTATGATAACACGTCATGTAACTATACTGTTTTGAATGAATACATGAGCAATATGGTCTATAAATCAACCGAAACGAGACAACGAGGAATTGAGTACTTTTGAAGTAGCCATGTTTGTATGACTGTTTCGGTTTAAACAATTTAAACGGTTTAACAGGTAGAAGAATAAGGTATTGCTGTATAACACCGTAATACTCAGATATACTGGGGCAAAACGTCCTTTATGGGAGAAGTCCACATTCAGTAGTGGTCAGTTAATGGCTGATGACTCAGGTATAGGAGGGAATGAGGAGTATCATGGACATACCAATATACTCTGTGATATTCAGGATAATATTCATATATATAAGCGACGATTACCACATTGTACCAGACAGATCATCAATTTATTAGCTATTCTAAATTCTATAAAAATGGAATCACGTTTGAATTCACAATTACTAGCATGCATTATAAGTACTGTTAAAAATAGCGTCAAAAATACCGAATTAACTGACTGCAATATTAACCCAATAATAGTTTAAGTTTCTGTATGGTCTTTGCATAAAATGGGCCATTTCTTTTTTTCTTCTTTAAGAGGCGACTAAGGAATCTTAATGGTTTCCTTACTCGAAAGATGGGCAGCAGGATCCCTATTAAAAACATCCCCCAAGCTTAATTGCGCTTGCTAATTTGCCTACCAAGTGTGGTAACTACTCGCAAAATCCTCCCTTATGAGGAAGACCCATGTTTTGCAGTGGACAGTTTATGGCTGTTATGATGATAGTGATGTCACTAGTGTACAAAAATTAAATTGCAGAATCTTATAATTCTAACATCAATTAATGAAGTTATTGTTTAACATAATTTGCATGGTGAAAATGTATCGGACGATCACGTTTGCCGATGTTTTTGAAGTAATAATTCTATTTCTATTCTGTGATGCAAGTCGAAGTTTCAAATAATAAGTAGATTTTGCTCCACAAAAAAAAAAAACATAACTTCAATTCTAAAAAAAAGCTATTTACTGGTGATCTCAGTATCCTTGTTTTAAAAAAAGCGAAACCTATAGACGGACGTTACGTAAAGACATACGACTTAATATACGAATTTAGAATAGTATGGAAAATGCAAAAGTATGAAACAAAAACTTCAAACGAAATTAAATTAACATGAGATGAATACGAAAGTAAATCGTATTGATTACAAAAAGAATAATCGAAATCGATTCAAAATTACCAAAGATATCGAGTAACATACAATTTGAATGAGATCGAATCGAGAATTTTTTAAGTCACTAAAAAATATTTCGAACGGGATTCCGGGTTGCTCGTGTTACACCGCCGTAAATTTTTCCTTATTTGAAGTCGCTAAGAATAGCGGCTAGTGTTTCCTTGTCTATCTTGACATTCTTAATTGACAGTAGAGTGGCAGCACTAATTAGTTGGAGAGTTCACATTAAGTCATTCCCGTAAGCTTCAAATTAGTAAGCAATGAGCAAGTCTTTGCAGTAGGCAGTGAAGTATTTATAAACAGTTTTAAAAATGTGTACGTTATGCTTTGTCTTCGCGAATGCTTCACTGATTTTAACAATTCTTATTACAATCGACAGAGCTTACTATCGTGTTAATTTCATACTCAAATAATTATGTATTTAATCAACGAAAATAAGAAAAAGGAACAAGTAAGAAATTTAATATTTATATTGATGTTTTCGTCAATTCTAAAGCAATTAATACATTGCCTTTTAGAATCGATTAGGTTTACTGACATTTTGATAGTTTTAAAGTTGTAACTATTTCGACCATGTTTCTTCTTACAGAAGCAAATTAAAATGGGTCGCAATCCATCAATGTCATGATCTCTATGTATTATGTTTCCTATATTCTATACTGTTTAATTTCTTCTACCCATCTCATCTTTGGGAGTGATTCAATTTCGATGTTTTTATGAACAAGAACGTAAGGATATATCGATGTTTAAACGACGGTCATGTTGAATTGAACTAGAGTTCGTGGCCTGTTCCTCGTAGACGAGGAACAGGCCACGTAGTAATCGTTCGACGAATCGCCTTATTTCTTAGTAATCTCATAATAATTTTGAGGAATTTACAATTGAATTTATTACGTAGTGTTATATCTGGGAACACAAAATAAATATTTTGTACAAAGTTCAGTAGATAAGTAGACAGGTAGATTGAATAAATATAGTTAGATTGATTTTTTTTATAAAACTAAGAATGGCAAACAAGCTGATGGTCCATCTGATGGAAGTAGTAACCGTGGCCTATAGACATGAACAGTACGATGGACCTTCTGTATATATATACTGTATAGGATGTCGAACGATATAGGGTACTTTTCAGTCCCGCGTATCCAGTTCACGCGGTAGAAGTCGCAGGTAAAAGCTAGTAAGCTTTCAATTATAAGAATGTTCACTAGCATCATAAGCTATTGTATCTCAAATTAGAATTAAAAGCCACGTTTACCGTTACGCCAAATTTATCAAGCCAAATACTTAATGACACTTCAGTGAATGAAGTAGTTCGACCGTGACATCGGAATGGCAAAATATTTGATTTGTTGTTGATTAATGATTTGGGGGACTCGAGACAAAAGCGTTCATTGGTTAAAGTTAATGAAATCTCAGCGAAATTTATTCATTTGGATCCATTCCAAAAATGTAAATGAGGACAGGACAGGCCTGATTCGCGAACAGTTATAGATAGAAACAATTTAATGTTTCGTGTTGTGCATTTAATATTAACTTTTTGAATGGTCGGAAATTAAGTTTAGTTGATCTGACGTCGAAAGTTGTATGAACAATCATCTAGATGCCGTTTATCGAAAAGTTAATAGACAGAAATTAAAAGAAAATCATTAATTATTTCAACTTAATAAATATTAAAATGAAATGAGAAACAAAAATATTAAGAGCCAAAGAAATATTAATAAACCGCTGAATTAAGAATGATATTCTAGTTACGACTTCATGATTAAATGACTTGGCAGCAGAAATAACATTATCTTGAGATAGATCCCTGGACATTCAGTGATCAACAGTGTTCAAAAATCATTTTTCACACTACAATACCCAGTTCCAAACCTTCCTAGTAAACTAGGGCATGTATATACACATAACATACATAGCTATAGTAGAACGTAAAGACACAATTTTAATTCCTGGCAGGCCATCAGGCTGTTGCTGGCATCGTTTCAAATCGACTGCGACTTCCTCTGTCGATTGTAAATAAAACTGTAAACTTTCCCAAGGATGACCTGCAGCCAAATGTCGAGCAATTGCAACTTGACAACTACGGGTCATTTGACACAGTGCACGCTTGACAAAATATATAGTTCAATTTAATAATGCAGTCATTGAATTTAATTTATTTTATAAACAAGTAACTTTAAAATTATAGATAGATATAAATAGATACTCTTTATTGTTTCCTCCAAAAGATTACAATAGTAAACTTATTATAAATATAAATAACTAGCGGCCCATCCCAGCTTCGCACGGGTGGACATTTTTACAACATTTTACATTTTTAACTATACCTACCTAGCTACCTATTTCATAGATGTGCCCGCTCCCACCTGCCCCTCTTGCACACCGCTAAAATAGGTACAGAATAACATGTACAACACGATAGCGTTATTTTTTCTTTTTCTATGAATTATTAAATTCGTAATATCTATTGGATAGAATAGCCGATTTTAACAATATGTTTAAAAATATAAACAAAAAGCAATAATTATCGCTGACAATTTGCTTTAATAATAATAATAATAATAATAAATAGATTTATTTTCTCTTCACAATTTATCACAGCACAATAAATAAATAATTTAATCGAAGCACATCCAAAATGAAATGACCGCATGAATGACATAACAACACGCTTGTACTGTCAACACTGAAAAAAGTTTCAATTTGACAGCACAATCGCCATCTTAAAAAAAGTTCGAATTTGACACAAAAATCCCTATTAATAAAATGATCCGCCATTTATTTAATTTGTTTGTTACAAAAAAATGTGATAAATGAAGAACCGCTCGACCGATTTTGTGCAAACTTCACATAAACCATCTACTAAATAGTCCGAACAAAGCCTAAACATTTGGTTTGGATAGGTGAGCCCGTTCTTGAGTTATAAAATTACAACGAAAAGTGGCATTAATATATAAATTTATAAGAAATAATTACAATCACTTAACAACATCAATTAAATGAGTTTTTGTTTGACAATAATCAATCGCCTTCAAAAAGGAGGAATTTTTAATTTGCTTTCCAATTATTTTTAAGTTCGTTACCTCATAACTTTGTCAATTGTAAACCGATATGGATTTTTTTTCTAGAAGGATATACTTACAAATTGGTTTCATAAACAATTTATCAATATCGATTTAGTAGTTTTGTTTTTAGAACAGTTAAACTGGATTTTTCATTTTTGCTCTCATTTTTTTGACAATTGAAGTCGGTTTCTTTATTACCAGAGGGAGACTTTGTACAAAAGTCGAATGGGACAGAGGTATCCACCTCTGTCCCATTCGTGTTTCAACCGTGAAACAGTTGTGTTTGCATGGCTGTGTTTCGGTTTGAAGGATGGGTTATGGCGTGAATTTACTGGGTACAGAGGTATAACACCTGAGTCCTCAGGAATGGCAACGCATGGAGGGTATCATGGGCGAAATAGTATACTCATGGTCATGGTACTGCTCATGTCTATAGGCGACGGTTATCACTTTCCATCAGGTGGGCCGTCAGCTTGTTTGCCATTCTAAGTTGTATTAAAAAAAAATATTGTAGTCGTTTTCTGAACTTACAGTTTAGTCCCATAGAAATTTTATCAAAATCAGCTCAGTTTTGAAATTAAAATATTTGATCTTCTAAAATCGAAGTCGGTTTTTTTTGTGTGCTCAACTTAATTCTTTATATATATCTTTATATATACATATCTTTATGTTGGAGTTTTAATACTGGCTGTTGACACAGTTTTTATTTTAGAACAATGTATTATTTTTAAATTTGTTCTGTGTCAAATTTTTATAAGACATGTCTTGTATTTTTTCACTAATTATTTTATATCACAAATACATATAGGTTTTATTACTGCATCCTGCTATTTACAACACTTTATATATATATATATATATATATATATATATATATATATATATATATATATATATATATATATATATATATATATATATATATATATATATATAAACACGGGTTTTTTTTGGTAAACAGTTCTCTTTTTATATATTATCCAACTTTAAATTGGGGGTTTCTAAACTTTTAGGCTAACAGAACACCCACGAAATAATGGAACTTTTTTATGGAACCCCATATCAAATGATTATAAATCAAAGACACTGCAATTTGTAATTCGCGTTGCCTCCGGCTGCCCATTTCCTGCAATCCGTCGGGATACTTGCGCGCACGCTGTGTCCGGGTTGAATTATCGCTAACTACTTAACTTATTAACAGTAACGAGTTCTGGTAACATCATACTGTTATATATACATGTCTATAGGCAATAGTTACCACTTTCCACCAGGTGGGCCATCAGCTTGTTTACCTTTGTAAGTAGCAGTTGTAAAAAATCTTAGTAACAAAATAAAATTATAACTGCGTGATATTATCATTAACAATATATCAGCCTTTAACTGTCCACTGCTGAACACAAGTCTCCCCCTTAGGGGGGTTTGCTAATAGTTGCCACGCTTGGCAGGAGGATTGGCAACCGAAGTTAAGCTTTAGAGTTGTTTTAATAGGAACGCTGCTGTCCATCCCTCGCCCTCCTTTAGTCGGCTCTTACGACACCCACGGGAAAGAAAGGGGTGGCCTATTCTATGCCGGGACCATACGGCCAATGCAGTATGATATCTATACATAAAAATGATGCAAAGATTTAACTAGGAACAACATTAGACAAAACAATATATATTTATATAATTTTGTCTACCCGTTTGTTTGTCTGTTTAAACTGGATACAGTTTTCACAGTTGCTGAAGTTCTAACTTAAAATCTAGTGTGTGATTTATCTTGATAGCCCGTGACTCAACACCATTCCTTATGGCTGTCTATTGGGGAGGTCTATGTTCAGCAGTGGACGGGTAATGGTTGAGATAACGATGATGACGACATCGTCAAGAAATGATCAATTTCATTACTTATTCTACTTATGAAAGCACATATGAAGTAGCAGGCAAACAATCAAATAGAAAATAAAATTTATCAAAACGGAACAAAGTAATGCATTTACCTCATCGCTGTGCGTCCAACGGATAGTTGGCGGTGGTTCGGGGGAGTGTTGCACCACGCACGTCAGGTTGATGGTGCTTCCTGTATTGATGAACAACTCTGGTCCGCCCAGGATCGTCGTCAGGGGCTCTGCTTGAACACAAAACAAAATGGTCAAGCGAATAGATAACTTTTTTTATACCATGGCAACCGCAGTTAGGCTTTTAGAGATATTTTAAGAGGAACGTTGCTGCCCATCCCTCGCCCTTCCTTAGTCGCACCTTACGACGCCCACGAGGAAGAAAGAGGTGGCCCATTCTATTCCGGAGCATAATATACTTACACATATATCGTCACAGTCGTAGAATACCGACGGATCTTTATATATAATATTTATCGGATCCGTCAGTATTCTACGACTATGACGATATATTGTACATCTTATATATCGTCATAGTCGTAGAATACTGACGAATCTGATAAATATTACATATAAAGATCCGTCGGTATTCTACGACTATGACTATATGTGTAAGTATATTTGTTATTTATATATATTTATTTATTTATGTAACTTTTAGTATGTATGCATATTAATTATTACAAGTACCGCATTCGAGTATTCTGACACTTCCCTATGGTTGACTGGGAGAGAATGCTTTTAACATTAAGCCCGTCTTATACTAATTAATAAATAAACAGAACTTTCAAGCTACATATGCAGTTTCTTTGTCACAGGATAAGTCCTCTTATATTGAGTAACAATAATTTATATTTCATATGAATTCTAAAAATTACAATAACAAGATTTTCCCACTTGTTTCACTCAACAGCTTTCTCATTACAAGTTTTCATGACCTGATTACCTATTTTCTTTCACATTGATCCCCTTTTTGTGAGTCTGAGCAACTTCAAAACGGCTCCTTAATTGGAAACCACCAAACCAGCCAGTTAATCACGAAAAGGAATTTCAGCATATCGCCAAACTTTTGAACGAACTCAAATACAGAAATGTTCAAGCAATATTATAATTTTCTTTCGGTAACGGAAAATAATATACAGTTAGCGCTGTTATTACCTCGAGAGTAAATAATTTTCCACATTGCCCTTTGACTCTTTGATGTGTTCACGGATCAAATTCACGTTGCTGGTGTTGGAAGCACATATGGTTTGATGAAAGGAGGCAGTAAAAAGATACGGGTTCAAAGATGTTCTTGGAAAAAAATTAGTCTGAAGATGTCTATTTATTATGTATTCGTTGTGTCCATGAGTTTTTATACGCGTACGTGAAATATATTGGGCTTGTTGAGCTCCTTAAAATATAATAAGTTGCTCATCCGTCATACCAGAGGGAGACTTTGTACAAAATTCGATTGCATGGGTACCTCTATCCCATTCGTGTTTCAACCGTGAAGCAGTTGTGTTTGCATAGCTGTGTTTCGGTTTGAAGGGTGGGATATGTCGTGAATTTACAGGGTACAGAGGAATAACACCTGAGTTCTCAGGAATGGCAACGCATGGGGGGTATCATGGGCGAAACAGTATACTCTGTTATGTCCATGGTACTGCTCATGTCTATAGGCGACGGTTACCACTTTCCATCAGGTGAGCCGTCAGCTTGTTTGTCATTCTAAGTTGCCATTCCTGAAGACTCAGGTGTTATTCCTCTGTACCCTGTAAATTCACGCCATATCCCACCCTTCAAACCGAAACACAGCCATGCAAACACAACTGCTTCACGGTTGAAACACGAATGGTACGGGATGAATTCCGCCCATTGTTGCCTCTTTATCTTGCTTTTATACAATTAATTGTATGTAAATAATTATTCGTTTTGTTTATTTACATATTGTTAATTTTTATAATCTGTATCATTCATTCATTAAAAACAACAATTCAATTCGATAGATATTCATTAACACGCTTTGTCCAAACTATTAGTACTGACGATCGAAGGTGACGGGGCACGAACCTATTTCCGCGTCTTAAATCAAATAAGTTTGCTAGCAGCGCACAGAGAACTCACCAAATCAAATTAAGCCAATTTAAATTGACTCAATACCAGCCAATATTGAACTCCGATCGCATCCCTATAAGCGGAGCTAGTGAACCATAATACTCGTTAGCTTTTATCTTTAATTTTGAGTTTTCCCATCAACCAAGTTAAGATGTTTATAGGGATTAGTAAGTTTTAGAAGGCGTTTAGGCGATATTACAATTTGTAACTGAAACCGTTTGCCATGCCTTTAATATAGACCTAGTGACCTACTAGGCTTCTAAATTTGAATTCTAGAAGTAAAATATAGACCATGTTAGTCGATGATAATGTCGTTTTATGAAGGTGAATTAATTTTTTTAATTAATTACTAATTATTAATTAAGGACAAGTCAAATCGTATTTTCTTTCATTGTAGTTACTTTATTCCTTTCTTCTGTAATATTTTACTGGATTCGTCATATTTCCTTGTGTACGCTATATATATATTCTTATATGTACATATATTTATTACATCTTATTTATTTATTTCTTATTGCATTCCATAATATAATTAGTAGAGTATGTTATTCCTCTGGGTACAGAGGAATAACATCTAAGTCCTCAGGAATGGCAACGCATGGGGGGTATCATGGGCGAAACAGTATACTCTGTTATGTCCATGGTGCTGCTTATTTCTATAGGCGACGGTTACCACTTTCCATCAGGTGGGCCGTCAGCTTGTTTGCCATTCTAAGTTGTATAAAAAAATAATTAATAGATAACATTTTAACTTCCATTATGAACCCTGTTGGGCACAGCAAGTAGGAGAGATATATATTATTATAATAAGTAGTTTAATAAATTATATGTATTTCATCTATTTTATTATGCAGTATAAGTTTTGTTTTGCACGTAAAAATTACTAATTCACTCTGGCGCCATCTAGCTATCTGTTCTCCTTTAATCAATGGTTGTCTTTAACAGATTGCCTTAGCGATAAGACTGCCTTTTGTACCTTTAAGTGTGTATTTTGATCTGTACTTCATGCTACTGTATTTTACTTAAATTTACTAATTATCATTGTATATTTTTATGTTTTTGGCGCAATAAAGAGTTGGATAAATAAATAAATATTTTTTTTGAATTTATCCAAAAAACACAGAAATAAATATTTCCTATTTATATAAATTTATTTTAGAAGATATTATAGTATTTAGGTGTTTAAAAATTCACTTAAAATTGTCATCGTTCGTCATTTCAATGGCTGCTATATTATGATTATATTGTTTAATTTCTCTACAATTAGTGTGCGTAAGACTAAAAATACGTGACGTTGATTAATGAGGTCATTAGTAATCACTAGTAATGACTTCAGGACCGTCATTATTATTTGTTCTTTTTTTTAATGGTTGATAATGGAATGATAACCCCGCCTGCGCTATTGATATACCCTAGCAGGGCACCAGTAAGAGATGTTTTTTTTAATGGGTGATAATGGAATGGTAACCCGGCCTGCGCTATCGGGATACGCTGGCGGAGCACCAGTGAAGTGTGATAGGTGAGGATGAAGCAGGTCAATTGGCCCATCGTGTCGAATTCAACAAGAATTGTTCACGATGGTTTCTAGGGGGAACCACGTGGAGGTCGACCTAATAGGGCATATTGCTAGCAATGGGGCTGTCAAACTCCAGTGTACAGTAACATAAACAGTAAGAGATGTTAGGTGACGATGAAAGCATGTCAGTTAGCTCATCGTGACGATTTCTACTAGAATTAACCACAATTTCCAAGGGCAACCGCGTGGAGGTCGACTTGATAAGGTGTATTGCTGGCCATGGGCCAGTTAGACCCCATTACTAACAATCCCTTTCCCCCTTATTATTATTTGTAACATATAAAATTCTATGTACATTTTCACTCAAATCCCTGATTAACTAACAAACGTTTTTCGTAATAAATTAAGGATTGTGTTCCTCGAAAAAATCGACTTCAATTATAATATAACCAGTTATTTTGATTCTAAAACTAAATTACAGAACCTGTGCACGACGCACATTTTTAGTTTCTTTTTTAATTTTATTAAAAATATGTTTTATTTATATTTGAAGTCTGTGTCAGTTTAGGTTTTGTTTTTTGTTCGCTTTTTTACTGCGTTGGTTTTCTTTGTTTATTTTTTATATAATTACATTATCTTTCTAAAATACCGTGTTTCTATACCATTCTATATCCTTTCGCCCACAGAATCAATTTTGATAAAAATTCTTTGAAATCAAACCGTGAGTATATTACCATATTTCAAATAACCAACCATCTGGACGAGTGGCGTGGTCTTCCACCGTGGGTTTTTCTACTTTCTTTCACGCACAACCACTCTTTGGAATTAACTTCCAGCAGCAGTATTTCCAGGTAGGCAGGTAGTCACTTACCATCAGGTGAGCCACATGCTCGTTTGCCCCGTGTTTAAAAAAAAAAACAAAATACTCGAATTCAGTTTACAGCTAACGGAGTTATGAGGTAACAAACATAAAAATACAACCGAACTAAGAATCCCTTTCTTTTTGAAGTCGGTTGAGAAGAAATCACCACAAACATTAAAATTGTATTAGGATATTAAAAAGAAAATAGTATAAATTACCGACGACGGAGAGGAACATTCGATGTCCGATGGGCGGAGTAGTTCCAACTTGGCATTCGTAAATGCCCGAGTCTCGGCGTTGCGGGAATCTTATCTGCGGAATAGAATTAAAAGATTTATATCCACAATTCGCATTTGAAACGTTTAAAATGTATACGTTAGCGGAAATTGTGTACTGCTTCTAAAAACAATATGAAAAATGCACAGGTTTATTTTTTTTATTCAACTTAGAATGGCAAACAAGCTGACGATCCACCTAATGGAAAGTGGTAACTGTTACCTATAGACATGAGCAGTATGAACATAACAGAGTATACTGTTTCGCCCATGATACCTCCCATGTGTTGCCATTCCTGAGTACTCAGGTGTTCACCTCTGTATCCTGTAAATTTACCGCCATATCCCACCTTTCAAACCGAAACAGCCATGCAAACACAACAGTAATTGCTTCACGGTAGAAACGTAAATGGGACAAAACGACTTTTGTACAAAGTCTCGCTCTGGTTTAATACTGTTCGCAAAATCGTTCGCGTGGCATTGTTTTTATATTTTTTCATGGAAAAAACATTTCTATATATTACTACTAAATTTCATTAAAGTCTGTTCGTGGTTTTATATAATATGATGCAATTTCTACCTTTAAATGTGAATTTTGACTAACTATAAATTTTTAGAATATTCGCGACAAGAAATGTTCATAAAAAATAATTTTTAATGTAAAACATGATTCTACTAATAGGACTGGAGTCTGTACACTTTAACCTTAACTTGAATATATTTCCAACTACACAACCAAAGGACTAATATCAGTTAGCGTTTTTGTTTCAGTGTCTATTTATTTATCAAAATCCGACAAAGGTCCAATCTACTGTTTTATTAACTAACAAACCGTTAGTTGCAACATTGCAACTGACAATGCAATTTTCAACTAAATTTGAGTACATTCATTTTTCCTGTTATCTTCTGCTCATCTGCATTTAATCTCTGCATAGTTTAGATTAATAGTTACATAACGAGGATAAGAATAAGAATAATAATTATTTAAGAAAGATACAGTTGCATAAGGTACAATTTACAATTTTTACAATTTATATTCAACGAAGAAATATCTGCATTACCATCAGTCCCCAAACTAGGCCAGACCTGTATCTTGGGGACTATGAGTGCGATTACATATTTATTACACTTTATTTACAAAAAAAAAAAAAACTATAAATAAACATTAGGTGTCATGTCGTATAGGGAGGTCAAGGATATGGCCTGAGATAGAACTGGCTGGAGGAAGATGCATGAATTAGTTACACCGACAAGAGGAAACTCTTAAATGAAAAGAACTATAAATACACAATAAAGGATTGTAACTACTCAATAACGTTTTAGATACAATCAAAGAAATGCTTGTAAATATATGCTAGGTAGTTTAAAAGAAAGCTCAAAGTTATTCTTTGGATACTGACAGGCTTTGTAAAAATTGTTCCAAATTTATCGATATAAGAGACATACACAATGCGAAATATAATGTCATCATACACTTAATTTCAGTAAAACGCTTGATACTCACATTTTCGGGATAAAATACGACATTTTATATTTTCATATATAAAGCGTCGAGTCTGCTGTTGAAAATTTCATTGAAATTATTAAATTATAAACCCTTTGACTCTTTTTTGTAGTCATTTATTGTGTACTGTTGAATAAAAACCTTTTCCACAAACTACTAGAGAATGATTTAAGGCTACCTCCATCAATCATCTTTAAATAAGTTGAAGCCGATATAAAAAGTATGTTACTTTATGCGTCAAAAGAGGTTTAGGAAAGAAACTAGCAATTCACATTGCTGAATGAAAATTAGCTCTCACATTACGCTAAGAATTTTCTATAGCTGCATCCGATAGTTACTCACTTTTAATATCCAGTCCTCAGTGTGAGGATTGTGTACGCTGATAAATCTCTGGTCGGACGTGTATGTCATCCTTCCAGAAGTTAACAGGTGTATATCTCGATGCCGAATCCATGACACCTGGATAACAAAAAGAAATGTTTAAAAAAATTACAGAGATCTTAGATACTTTACATGTTTTTATTTATATTTATTTCATTCTTTATTGTACATTCCAATTATTTATAAAAACATGACAGAGGTAATCAAATGTACAAAGGCGAGCTTAACTCTAAAAGAGTTCTGTTCTAGCAAACCCAAAGTGGAAAGGAGCATCAATGTCAGTGGGTAGAACAGTGTACAATATTGTAAAAAATTTTTAAACAAAGTAACTAGATAAACTTAAATTAATTACATTATCATTAATCGTATAAATACACATATACATATACATAAATATATACATACACATGTACATATAATATACCTATACATATAGATAAATAAATATATGTCCATAGAGATATAAGATGCTCTTCAAGTCTACTCTTAAAAATGTTTCATGTTATTATTCATAAAAAAATAAAATATAGTATTCAAAGAGAATGTATGATATTTTATTTTTAACAGAATACGTAATTACATTTTCAAGCGAATTACGCTGAATGTTGTGTTAATCAAAATCTAAAAGTATTATTTCGCGCAATATTTTCCTTTATTTATTTTGCTGAAAACAGGCGCTGTATTTACAACCTCTACCGGTATTGTATAACAAGGGCATACAGCTAAACAGTCGAGTTTAAGGGTATTTCAAGTGTACGCATTATTGTATTGGAAATTTCTCCCGGTGTGTGTTTTTCCCGATTCATATAACCAGACGTCTTTCAAGGTATCAGTGAATCATTATTAGAGGTTAAACGATTTTGTACACGTGAATTTTGATAGTAAAATCTAGATGGCTCATCATGGTAAAAATTTACCATCAGAAACGTAATTGTGAAAACTATATCCAATTTGTTGAAAGAGTTTTCGCGTTATGCCGGAACAAACATATAGATAGACAAATAAAAATTGTAAACAGTAGTGTTTTGGCTTCTGTGATATTTAATAAGACCCTTGATTTAGCAAATATCTCCTATTACAGAGATCAAGCAGTTTCATTTTCATATGCGTATGTAAATCCACGATTTGTCAAAGATATTAAAATAAAATTTCAACCTGAACCGTTTGTGAGGTAGGAAGCAAAAAGCAAATTCGTTTACATCTTCAATCAGAACAATAGTATCTCCATGCACATTTACATTCAATATAGCATCATGTACTTGAAAAGCGCTTACAATATCTAAGAGCAGATTTCAAAATATACACAAAAGGCATTATTTAGTGTTGAAAAGGTTGACAACGTGAAGCCATTTAGATGGCACGATTGTTATAGGATTTAGAAAGGGCTTGCAACCTCGGATTTGAATTTAAAGAAGGCCAGGCATGATAAGGCTTTTTATGACAGTCGCTTTGAAGTTTACATTTGTACTGAAAAAAAGTAATTCGAAAGTATTTTTGCACGGCTACAGAGAAAGCAGGGCAATGTTTTCTGTAGTATTAAATATGCCTGAGTTTTTGGCGTAACATACAGAGTAAGGTTAGATATCAAAAGTGTTTGTTGTCAGATTGATATCAAGATACGCGTTATGTCTGCAAATAAAATTGCTATTTATGTAAGCCATGTATTTGCAGAATATGTGTGCATGGTAATACATACTGCATATACTGTAGCATGCAATTAATAAGCGTCACACATTCACACCAATTGATTCGTCTTCGGGCTAGGATATCTTATAAGGAACCAGCCAAACATCTAATCAACATCTGTGTGCCTCATCGTCCCAAAACACCCAGATCAAAGGAAATTTAGGAAAGTTCATTTCCTGAATTACCACGAAAGGAAATCACACTTGGGACCTTTATCATGGGTCGTCGAAATCCAGGGAAATATTTTCCGCAAATAATACGTTATTGGTATTAATTTTAAAATGTTATTATTATAATTTTTATAGGCTACATAAAGATAGTGATAGATAGAAAGTGTTGTGGGTGATCGTGGGCGGCGGTAGTCACTTACCACCAGGTGAGCCGCATGCTTGTTTAGCCCTATGTTGTAAAAAAAAATTAACTATATTGTATACAGTCAGAACCTCGATTTTTTTATGACTTTTAGCAATCGACTATTGTACAAAGTCTACCTCTGGTATGTATGTATACAGTTTGCGTTTGCAATATGTATTTCAGTAGAAAAAGATCTTACATCCACACCTTTTAACATTATGAGTATATTGGTTTCCGACGTTTCCATGGAACTACCTATGATTTATATCATATACCTAATGTTTATATATTTTTAGTATGTATTATATTTTTACATTATTAGTGAAACATTAAATTCCTAGAACATATAAATAAGCAATACAAAAATAACATAAGTTTCCACAAAAAAATGATACATTTAATAAACGACAGCAAATATGATAAATATAGAAAAATAAGTACTTACATGACATAACAAAAAAGAAAAAAAACGTAAAAATAACAATATAAAAGATTTTTTTAAGTACGAGAAACTTGAATGTCTTCTCTTTCGTGTTTCTTATACAAATACATACAAAGCTTTCACTGTATATATTTAAAGAGAATAATTGTATTGAGAATAATTATAACAATTATAAGTTCTAAGAAGAAAAGTGTTGTATAATCATCACCAGAGGGAGACTGTACAAAAGTCGTTTGCTTGGGCACCTCTGTCCCATTCGTGTTTCTACCGTGAAGCAGTTATGTTTGCATGGCTGTGTTTCGGTTGGATGGGTGGGATATAGCAATGAATTTACAGGGTACAGAGGAATAACACCCGAGTCCTCAGGAATGGCAACGAATGGGGGGTATCATGGACGATACAGTATACTCTATTATGTCCATAGTACTGCTCATGTTTATAGGCGGCGGTTGCCACTTACCATGAGGTGGGCCGTCAGCTTGTTTATCATTCTAAGTTGCATAAAAAAATTTAGGTTTAATTTGTTGAATGAAATAAAGAAATAAATGATAATAAATTAACATAATTAGATAAAATGTACTAGGGGAACCTAGTACACGTTTGAAAATATTTAATTCCATATTAGAACAAAGCATTCAAATAAAGATTCCGTATAAAAATTTATTGCAGCAAGTTCACGAAGAACTCACAATTCTCATTACACGATTTTTTTTTTCTAAGTCTTCTTCATATGTTTATTATTATTTAATTGTCCACTGCTGGACATAAGCCTTTCCGATAAGGGGAGTTTTGCTATTAGTTGCCACGCTTGGCAGACGGGTTGACAACCGCAGTTAGGCTTTTAGAGATGTTTCAATAAGGACGCTGCTGCCCACCTTTTGCCCTTCCTTAGTTGCCTCTTACGACACTCACGACCTATTCTATGCCGTGGCACACACAGCGACCATATGTTTATATTGAAGTCCAATTTCGTATTAGAATTTTTCATTGTCATAATATTTTGTTACTAACAACACCTAGCAGCCTTTAACCCAAAATAGTGGGAAGTTATTTATTTTGTTATTGTGTTTCGAGAACAAAGCCTATACAGCGGACCAATTATAATCTAAACGATTTGCGATTCAGGACCGTTTACTGTACTGTTATTTTGTTTGTTTCATTATAGTGGATTATTCGACCTCGCTGATTACCAACTAGCAATTTCGGGTTACAGTTTTGGAGGATTTAATTAATGTTCAGTGGAAATAGAGTTATAGACAATTTTAGATATTTGATTATTTAACATAGATTTTTTACATAATATTATCAAGCCGTACAATCCTGGCATAGAATAGGCTATCCTTTTCTTTCCCGTAGGTGTCGTAAGAAGCCATTAATGGAATTTAATGGTCGAGGAATGAGCAGCAATGTTCTTTTTAAAATATCACGAAAGCCTAACTGCGTTTGCCAAATCGTCTGCCAAGCGTGGTAACTACTATCAAATCCCTCCCAAGGGAAATGTTCATTTCCAGCAGTGAACAGTTAACGGCTAAAATGATGATTTTAGTTATTGGCTTCAAATGGCCTTTACAACTTCACCAAACGCGTGTAAGCCGGGGCGAGTGCAGATGGCACTCCAAGCCCGCGAGAGGGGAGCGACAGAGGTGTCAGCTCTTTCTAATGGACTGCGGTGTGCGCCCGAGGGTGCCTAAGTGGCTCGAACCTCGGCTCGGTCGCCAGACTTCGGCCCCCGTCAAGGGACGGTGGGTCGGTGGATCGAACGGGGAAATATGATAATGATGATGATGATGATGATTATAATCATGGAAATATCTTATAGACAGTCAGAAAGAACAAAATAACAACATCTCATGAACTATTGCAAAAGCAGAGGAATCCCGCTTGTTTTATCGACTCTTGTAACATGTTTCCTTACTAATAATTATAAATGTGAAAGTGAGTTTATATTTCTTTGTTATATGTCTTTTTGTGCATTAACTACTTAAGCATTTACTATAAAATTTGACATACACGTACTATATATATGGGATGAAGATATTTAAAACTATTTTTCATCTCGGTCATTCAATATATTTCGGTTACGCGGTCGATGTCGCGAATAAAAGCTAGTACCTACTACATTATTACTAACTCCAAGAAGTAAACGAACTTTGTAAAATAAAAAATAATTGATTTATTTTCACTTTACAATTCATCACAGTGAAATACAATGAGACATGCTTACATTAATCAAACTATAAATATAATTATAAGAGACTGATGCTTGAGATAAAACAATATAAGTTAGACAGATGAAAAGACAATCGGAACCACCAATTCACCAATCTACATAATATATGATCTTTATACTAATCAATGCATTTTTTATACAACTTAGAATGGCAAACAAGCTGACGGCCCACCTGATGGAAAGTGGTAACCGTCGCCTATACACATGAGCAGTACCATGGACATAACAGAGTATACTGTTTCGCCCATGATACCCCCCATGCGTTGCCATTCCTGAGGACTCGGGTGTTATTCCTCTGTACCCAGTAAATTCACGCCATATCCTACCCTTCAAACCGAAACACAGCCATGCAAACACAACTGCTTCACGGTTGAAACACGAAAACAACTTTTTTAAACACTGCAGACATCACAACATACTGTAACACTAATGGGTCCCGAAACATCACTTTCTTCACTCATCCATCAAATCGATACAAACACGGCTGTATGGTAGGGGAAATGCGAATAGGGCAGAGGTGCCCAAGTGGATGACTCCTGTACAGAGTTTAACTTTGATAAATGAGTTTTGTATACAAAAATACGACATAACATAAAAGCTTACTGTTCTGTTTCCGAGATCATGAACTCTGCAGTTCAGTTGTGCTGTCTTTCCAACTAATGCCGTCACGTTTTTCGAGTACGCTATATCGAAATGTGGTCCGCGCTGCGTCAAGCCAAGATCGACATCGGTGTAGTCCAATTCTGGTACTCCATCGCTGCCCAGGCCATTTGCATTGTCTGTGCAACCTGCAGAACAGTTTACATGTTAAAATGATATTTTATATAGATTTTATTTTTATATACAAGTTGAAATCCAAGTCTTTAGCTGTATCGTAAAACTAAGAATCTGTTCAGAAAATTCTCGAAACACAAATTCTAAAAGGACAAAAAATTTAAGTCTCCCATACTATTTTTTCTATATAACATAAAACGGCAAACAAGCTAACGACCTTTCTTATGGAAAGTGGAAAAAGCAGTCTATAGTTACGAATAGTACATGGACATAATAGAGTATACTGTGTCACTCGTGATACTCTTCATGCGTTGCTAGTCCTGAGGACTAAGGTGTTATGCTTCTGTACCCTGCAATGTACTTAACAGTTCGAGGTATCATGTTAGTTTTGAAGGATCATCTTTTTTTTATTTCTCTTGGCTCATGTTTTTTGTGTTGTATTTTTTAAATAGGGCTAAAAAACTACAAAGTATGTGTGGCTTTTCGACCCGTTTCTTTGGTAACAAGGATCAGTTTCGGTTAGAAGACTACCTTCAAAGAACGCTTATAATTTCAGTTGCTCTCCATATAATATTAAAATTTATAATAGATAAACAATAGCACTAAACTACCGTCCCTTGAGCCTGACTTCCGAAATTCGAATTGCTCGGATCTAAGGTATCATAACTAGAGGATAAGCAAACTACAACAAGTCCCATTCACCTAAGGATCATTGTCCTCTATCAAGAAAGTCTACGGTTTCACGAAGTACTCAAATTTCAATTAGGGTCTTCATGATTTTGTATAGAAATTTAAGTAGCAAACCAGAAATTATAAATTGAGTTACTTTTTGTTTCAGCTGGATTTGCTGGATTATGTTCCATTATGATTATAATAAAAAAGTTGCTTTTGCTTTTTTTTTCTATAATTTTTACTTTATATCTTTGATCAGATCGATCGTATATTATCTCTGAGAGAAACCGAATTTATCAAAAATCGGGGTATACACGTATGGATTGAATTAGTTACGGAAGTGGAAGCAGAAATGCATATAAGTATTGAAACTCTTGAGGAAGAGGAGGGAGAGATTGTTAATATTGAGGGTCAACAACCCTACTGTTAGTAATACATTTTAGCATGTCGACCTCCACGCGATCTCTCCTGGCTGGCTGGCGGAGTTACCATTCCATTATCATCCGTAAGATCTTGGGAGACTTTGTACAAAAGTCGTTTGCTTCAGTGCCTCTGTCCCATTCGTGTTTCAACCGTGAAGCAGTTGTATTTGCATGGCTGTGTTTCGGTTTGAAGGGTGGGATATGGCGTGAATTTACAGGGTACAGAGGAATAACATCTGAGTCCTCAGGAATGGCAACGCATGGAAGGTATCATGGGCGAAACAGTATACACTGTTATATCCATGGTACTGCTCATGTTTATAGGCGACGGTTAGCACTTTCCATCAGGTGGGCCGTTAGCTTGTTTGCTATTCTAAGTTGTATAAAAAAAAATCCGTAAGAGAAAATTTTGAAGAAGAGACTTTATATATAAAACTATAAATATAATACTATAAAATTATTATAAAATAGATTTTATTACTTTATATTATACACCGTGTTGTATAATAAACTGAATTAAAGCTAATAGCATTCTCTCCCAGTCAACCTATAAAGTGCAGAGTAGCAGAGGTCTCAGAATGCGGAAATTTCTTGGAGAAAATTTGATTTCTCCAGCGCAAGTCGGTCGCATGGGTTATTCATTATTTATTAGGTCAAAAGCAATGGAAAATCACTGTCGACATAGTGTTGCAATAAAATATGAATTGACTTGGTTAAGGTAAGCCTTTTAACAAGACAGGTTTCAGCGTCGAGACGAATGGAAATAATCTTTCATTTTTTAGAAAAGCATTTTTCATTTCGGGAGAATAAATTAATGTTTGTAGATTAAAAAGCATTTTTAGTACAATGTTGGCAACACTAGCTTATAGTAATTTAAATTAGTGGTGACCAAATGTTTCTATTTTTTTTTTGTTTATACTTATTAATTTTTTATAATGTGACTCAGTAGATACAAATAAACTTTTAATTTATGTAGTTGTGTTTGCATGTGTTTCAGTTTGAAGGATGGGATATGGCGGTGAATTTATAGGGTACAGAAGAATAACACCTGAGTCTTCAGGAATGCCAACGCATGGGGCGATATCATGGGCGAAACAGTATACTTTGTTATGTATACTATTCATGTCTATAGGCGACGGTTACTACTTTCCATCAGGTGGGCCGTCAGATTGTCTGCCATTGTAAGTTGCTTAAAAAAAAATTTACTATCTCATTATGGCAAATTTTGAATGAGAACCACGTGGAGAGACCAGCCTTAATATTATTTATTTGAAATCTTTTATTTATGTATTAGTAATGTAATATACTAGATGGAGTGACGACCTTGGATGCATTGCAGGGAGTTAGTGGATGCAGGTGACTCAGGACCGTTCCTTATGGCTGTTTATGGGGGAGGCCTATGTCCAGCAGTGGACGGATAATGGCTGAAATGATGATGATGTATGCTATATAAGTCATTATGTGATTGTCATATTGTCAATATGAATTAGTGAATTAAAAAAAATTCTTTCATGTATTATTTCTTTCTTTCGTTTATTCATTCATTATATCTATAATCGATAAGTATATTTGGGGGGAAAGGGATTGTCAGTAATAGGGTTTGTCATCCCCAGTGTTAGCAATATACCCTATTAGGTCGACCTCCACGCGGTGCCCCCTGGAAACCATCGTGGCTAAATCTTAACTAACTGACCTACTTCATCGTCACCTATCGTCACTAACTGATGCCTCGCCAGTGTACCTATACCGATAGTGCAGGCGGGGTTACATTCCATTATCACCCATTAAAAAAAATAAGCATATTTATTGAAATTTAGCACAATATAGAACATTCCTGAATTTTAAAATTCGAAAAAAATTTACTTATAACGTTTTTATTAGATCCTCAGTCACGTGACACAACAAACAGCGTTCTCCTCGGCCCGAGTATTCTAATAGTAAAATATATTGCGGTCATAATTCAACACGAGAACAATGGCTGTCTTTGCCTCGAACGGTGGCAATAATGCTCCGCCGAGACAAAAGTTGAACGGTAGCATGTTAAAATAATTATTATACTTGTTGTTTTATGCTCTTGTATGTGCCATAACGACATAAAGATAGCGTACTTTGTAACTTAATATTAACATAGTCGTTGATGCAACAAAAGGTTAGTGTGCGAGTGTTGGCAGGAATGGAATATGAAATTTTTAAAGCGATGTTCTTTTTATGAAAAATACAATTTCTCTATAATGTACGTGGCTGTTTGTTTTAAGTTCTTTGGCTGTCATGCTTGTTATTAAATAAAAAAAATATATAGATGTGAATTGTGTTGCTAGCAACAAAATGTATTTTACACAAATATACGTTTTAACCAGTGACGTCATTTTGTTGTGTATAAAAAAGTGTTAAACAATGTTATGAGTGAATAATAATAATAACCTTTATTGGAACAAAAAACAACTTTGTTACAATTACAAAAGTAGAGTAATGTATGATAACAGCCATATATTATAAAAAAATGCGATATTTATAAATAAAATTAATAATTAATAACATCATCATATCAGCTTGCAACTGTCCACTGCTGGACATAAGCCTCCCTCTTGGGGAGTTTTGCCAGTAGTTGCCACGCTTGACAGGCGGATTGGCAACCGCAGTTAGGCTTAGGAACTGTTTTAAGAGGGACAGCTGCCTATCCCTTGCCTTTCTTTAGTCGCCCCTTACGACATCTAAGGGAAAGGAAGGGGTGGCCTATTCTATGCCGGGACCACACGACAAATTTAGAATATATGAAATAAATGAAATAAAATAATGTACTCATACGTAACGATTTACCTTTGTCCCGATGTAGTAACTCATTCAGGATTTAAATGAAATTTGGTGATTATATGAATGGATTTTATGGTAACTATGTTCGCATGTGGTTTTGTTTTTTACCATGAATCTAAATCTATAATTTCTTGTGTATTACTATTATTTGACTGTATATTTGTTTATGTATTAATAGTTGTAGTACTTTAGCTACCTGCTAACGAAATGCTTTCTCACTGTATTGAATTGACTGGAAGAGATCTCTGTCAGAGATAAGTCAACGCTTGCTCACAACATTTATAAATACATTATTTTATATGCAATAAAATTATATATTAAACAGACAAAATTGCATATTAAATTTTAAACCCCGTTTTACTTCCTTATGGGATGAATTTTAAAAAGTATTTTTTTGTTGTTCATCTATGCTATATAATGAGTCTATAAACAAAATTCCAAGATTGCAGATTCAGCGGGTTTGACTATGCGATTATAGGTCAGTCTGTCAATCAGTCAATCAGTCAGTCAGCCAGCCAGTCAGTCAGTCAGCCAGTCAGTCAGTCAGTCAGTCAGCCAGCCAGTCAGTCAGTCAGCCAGCCAGTCAGTCAGTCAGCATCCTCTTTTATATATACCTATAGATTAAATATATAGAAAATTTGTATCATAATTTATGCAAATGAAGCTGTAAAAAACCGCCTTGTTAAGTTTTAAACGAGTATAGAAATGCTCTCCGAGAGGACTAGATCATTATTAGTAATTAAGTATTAACATAGTTTTTAAGTACACTTACTAACAAGAATGGATCCCAGTTATCTAAAAATAAATAAATAAATAAAAAAAAAATAGAACAGGAAATATTAAAAATCAAGAAATATCGAGTAAATAAAGAAAGAGCCATATCATAAGACTTTTCCTCTGTGAATTTTATAATTTTCTGCAATAGCCTGTTTTGCCTGTGGTTGGAATCTTATTGCATTGTAGTCGTATTAAGCTGCGAATAAAAAGAAACGTGAACACGGCGCAATTCGTAGCTTTTGGCTGTATTAAACGAAAATATTTAATATTTTTTCTCATGAATAAAATATCTGGTGTAAATAGACCTTTTGGATTGGGTCTTTTTTTTTTAATTAAGTCCAAAATAAAAGAGCAATGGTTGCATAGTTTAAAATTCTAGCTTAAAAATTAAATATTGTAAAATTCTTTTACATTTCACTTGTTGAATTTTGTTGATTGCACATATAGGTTGGAATGAAAATGAAAAAAAATGAAAAATAAATTTACTTTTTGGTTACAAAGCCAGACAGGATTAATATAGGCATAAATACTAAGCTTCTTAAATTAGTTTTTTAAAGTTGATAAATTATTTAAATTACTTGAAAAGAATCAATTAAAGCGAGTTATGGACAGGGCTATATTCGGAGTTTCATTGCGTGATAGAATCCGAAATGAGGATATCCACTAAAGAACCAAACTGATCAACATATTTCGAAAAATAAGCTTATTGGAATGGCGACCCCATAGATAAATGTAACGTAGAACGATCTCCCACTAGATGGAGCGACGATCTCAAATACATTGCAGGGAGTCAGTGGATGTTGGAAGCTCGGGACTATTCCAATGGCAGTCTCTGGTGGAGGACTATGTTCAGCAGTGAACAATTAAGGGCTGATATGATGAATCAATAAAATCGAATCCCAAGTTATAAAAATATCACGTAATACACAAAAACATAAGAAAGTATATCATTACATTTAACTATAAAAAATAAAATAAACACTGCAAACTAAACAAGCATATGGCCCAAACAAGGCTTATGCCCAAAAAGTGTATGCAGATTTTGTCACAGTGAGGAAGAAACGCCGCAGCACTGAATGTGTGGCTGTAGCCCACTCATTCATAAACGATATATCTTCTTTGGAAAATACTCTATATCCTGAGAAGATAAAAAAGGTCGCTACAAAAGACATCTTAAAATGCCTATAATTGTTAGGGATTAGCAACGAACTTTAAAAAGGGCGAGTACAAAAGATCATGGAAAGGTCGCAGTGTCACAGGTCATTCTGTCTGAAAAAGCCCATCTTTCAATAATAATAATAATACATTTAATTAAACAAAACTTACGAATATTTCAAAGCAGTAAAAATTACAATTGGCATATTGACTGTACTCAGAGGGCAATTTCCGCTTTGCTCGACGCTTGTCCCATCACAGTCCTAAGCCCGACCATTTAGCTTCAGACGTCTATTCCAACTGACATTTTTTCATCAAATATAGAGAAATCTGCAAAGACCATTAATGGAGGCTGGGCCTTGATTAAAGTGGATCATGACAAACCGTCATTCAGAGGATTTGAGGGCAATACGCCACGAGACCGTTTCGTTTCGGCTTTTTTCATTATCTTTTTAAATGACAGCGATACTTTACTTTATGCGGAATGCTATAAGTGGTTTTGAGAATATAAAAATGTATTAAAATGACTGTAGGCACGCAATTTGTCATATTTATTGCTCCATATAGTTGGAAAGGATAATTATATAGAGAGTTTGGGGTCTGATTACAGTCTAATGAGTTAGTATGTATATAAGCTAAAGGTCAGATGCTGACACCGATAAGTACAGAAGGCGTAAAATATGAAAATAGTACTAGAAGTAAGTGGATTAGAGTTGAAAATGGTTCTTTGCCCTAATTAGTACAATAAGGTCTTATAATCGAACGATTTAATTTCATACGTTCAATATTGGAATGCCAAGTTTATTGAAATCTTGCCCTTGAATTCAACCTTTACTTAAATTACAAAATTATGACACGTCAAGCTAACTATAGTTCACAGGGGTCAAAGGGATTGTAGTCTCATTGGTAGCAATGTACCCTATAAGGTTGATCTCTGCGTGGTTCCCCCTAGAAACCCTCGTGGTTAATTCCTAATAAATTCGTCACGAGGAGCTAATTGAAGCATATACTGATACCGCAGGTGCGGTTACCATTCTTTTATTTTTTGGCTTTGATTAGAAGATGGGCGCTACTTTTAAGCATAATGTCACAATTCGGTTTCCAATTTATAGGACTTACTTCAATATTGATTTTATTTTAAATTTGTGAATATTGAATTTGCATTTTTCTTTAAGAAGGTTAAGTAAAATTAAGATATATCTATAAACATCTCACTTGAAGTTCTCTTCTTTTGCGGAAATAAATATAGATGAAAAAGTTTTTTTTTTAAAAACAAAGTTATATTTATGGTAAATATCATAAAGATTGTGCAAGTAACTTTTATTAACAAATTACCACTTCTTGTAGTAAATATTGACCGACACCGTTTACACTTTAACGATTATGGTTAAATTAATCACCGAAATACAATTTATCTCAAAATTTTTTATGCAAATCAACTCTCCTCCAGTTATAATATCACAAAGGCTGATTTATCTCAAGTAGTCTCTTTAGCTGAACAAAAGCTACTCGGGCCTTACGAATTCGGGATTCATCAGTTTTCGCTTTAAACAGCCTCTTTGATAGTAACAAGGGACATTGACCCGATGTTGAAGGTTGGCCATCGTTAGAATGCCGCTGAAGTGATATTAATAAAACAAATACTTTTGGATTCGCAAAAGACAACTTCAATCGTGAACCCACGTGTACGCAGGTACACATACAATCACACAATTACACATTTTACATGTACACACGCATATGTAAACCTACACATAAAGACCTCACTGGTACTTATTGGTTTAGATTATATACATTGGTGGAGTGTCAGTCAAGGATGATAGATAAGGAGAAGTAAGGTCAATTAGACTATATATGAAGGACTCATCAGGAATTAATCATGACGGTTTCCAAGTGCAACTGCGTGAAGCATTTTTAATGGGTGAGAATGAAATGGTAACTCCGTCTGCGCTATCGGTATACGTTGACAGGGTACCAGTGAGAGATGATAAGTAAGGATGAAAGCAGCTTGGTTGGTCCATAATGACGAATTTCATAAGAATTAATCATGATGGTGTCAAAGGTCTGCGCGTGGAGGTCAAACCTGATATTGCTAGTAACGGGGCTGTTAGATTCCATTACTAACAATCTCTTTTCCTCCCACCGTGTGGAGGTTGACGTGGTAGGATAAATTGCTAGCAATTGGAATGTTTGTAACAATTCTGTCTCTCCAGCAGTAGATGTTAGATACGCTAAGGAGAATAAAGGTCACGAAGAATGAATTTCCTTAAATTCCAACTAGGGTGAGAGACAACAGTGATAATAGTGGGTTTACCATGAAATCTAATTACGAAAATTTGAACCCGTATGATGAAATAAGTTCATATTGTAATCGAGTTTAATTTGTAGACAAATAATAGTGCTTTACATCTATTTGGTCATAATCCTATATCTAATTCTTGTTTCGTTCGGTTCCAATATTTTGAAACAATTTTCATAGTGATTATTAGCCATGGATAATAGCTAGTTATAAGTTAAACAACATAAAAGCTTACCTGTACGCGTGACAAGGGCCAAAGCACCAAGAGCCCCGAACAAGAACGCCACAGTCATAGCTAGTTCACGTGTCTGCACATAATCTCACACATCACTGGCTACCTGCGAACAAAATTATACTCTATTTTAGCACATTATAAAAACTAAATTTCAAGAATCTTGGGCACCAGGTCACAGAGAATATTCGACTCTATGCACTATCTCTTGAAATCCATTCCCCTGTACTCTATAGTAGGTACACTACACTGAATGAAATGTGCATTTCTGCACATGCATAAAAAAACTCTATTGCCTGTAGTCGCAAGGAACATTTTGCTTTGAAATAGAGGTATTAGAACCTAACCACCGTGACCTGAATTTTAATATTGTACACACATGATGCCAGGACTTAAGTAGTCTTAGTCAGCATATGAATGTGCAAGGAAAAGCTTGTGAAACACGAAAAATTTAAATTAAATAAAGCAAGAATTACTGATTTATGAAAACAATACAAATATTAATTCATCATTATTAATTAGTATAATGTAATTCATAAATATGATGATGATCACTTTAAGAAAAATCTGTTATATTAGCCTAAGACCCCATTGCTAATCTCCGTTGGCTTTTAAATGAAACTTGGTTTAAATGAAAGACTAGCATAAATAATAAAGGTAATAAAATTCAGCTAGATCATTTAGCGAGATATAGCCGTTATTGGTTGGAGGGTCGAGGGATGGGCAGCAATTTCCCTCTTTAAACATCACCAAAGCCTAACTCCAGATACCAATCCGCCAGCCAAGCGCGGCAACTATTGGCAAAACTCCTCAAGGGGAAGGATTATGTTCAGAAGTAGACAGTTAACGGCTGATATGAATATATATAAAAATCTTAGATAAATTACCAGTTTTTAGATGGTGTTGCTGTGAAAAACGTAAAAAAAATGTTTTTCTCAGCTACAACTTCGAAGTGACAATTTAAAGTGGGTACAATAATTTTTGTAAATTTGTCTACATCGCGCTTTTTCATAGAATGTCAGGTTGAACTCTAATATACCCTATATAGTTTGACTTTTTGTGTAATAGAGCTGGCTGTTTTAACTTCCAGATTTAATTCCAGACCAACTAAGTATGCTGCTGTGTTTTTGTTGTTTCCGACAATTGTTTCAACTTCATCCGAAAGACTTCTTCGGGAGGCGTACGGCGCTTTGCGTACAGTGTCTCGCTTCGCACTGCGGACTGCAGCTCGTAGTGCACAGTGCAACGTAGTGAGTTCATTAACTACATATGTATATAGACAAATAAGTATGTATTGCAAGTTTTAATACCAAAAAAAAATTACACAACCCTAGTGGAATTAGATTTACTTTCAATGGCTACAACTAACAATATTCCTTCTGATACAATGTCAATGACATATCCAAACATTATTTCATCCTTTACGTTCTGTAGTATTTATTTTCATAGACGAAACTAGCTATTACGTTAGATAGTAAAATCGACTTTACCTACTTCTAGATACAAACTATTTTGCTATATCATTGATGTAGTATACACTGTAAAGAAATATGAACCTTATGCTGAGGTGTTTGAGCACATTATTGTCTTGATTTTATTTTCCATGTGAGTGTGATCATTCGTCTGTAAATAGGGTTGTGTAATACATTCCGGTGGGTTGGTAAATGTGACAGGAAAGAAATTCTCCTCTCACTTTAGTGGTTGATGTATATGGGTTTGGTATTGGTATGAAATTCTTGGAAATTTCTAAGGATATTTGTAATATAATGTTACTAATCAATTTATGATCTTGTACACAGACATATATAGTAATAGATGACGCAAGTTCCTCAATTCATATGAAAACTGATCCTACCATTACTAGCCATGATGTTACAAAAGCTATTAATAGCACTTTGGATACTATTTGTAATACAGTTTCCTTAAGTTCAGATTCTTAAAATTTCTTTGGACATCAAGAAATTCCAAATTTAAAGGTGTAAATATATAGCTTTAAATTTGACTCTATTGAACTAATTTAGAATCAAATATTAAGATTACAGTAACAGTAGCAGTATTTACTGAAATACATATGTGTGATTTTGAAATTTATTCTTAATCATAGCTTATAAAAGAATCAAATATTTTGAAAAGCAGTAACTGTGTAACTACTTGCTTGCATCCCTTAAGAAAATATTTTCTAAACAGACACATCAGTTAGATAACGAGTTTTCTGCAAGTACTGCCACAATATGCAGTTTGTCTGCTCTATTCATATATAAAATATAAATTTTCTATATGAATAGAGCAGGCAAGTTTATCAAATAGTCAAACGTCTTCAAAGACTTACTTTTATGGGACAACAGATTAAATGTTGCAAAAAAGTATTCATAACCCAAACGTCCGGTTAGTTTGTAAACATCCATACGAATATCTTATTAAGACCACTAATCTTCATGATTAATCAGCCGGAGAACTTTAGCAGTTATTTTGACAAATACCATGGGTACGTATCTGCCTTCTCCCCCCATCTATTTGTACCCTTTCTCGTCTCGAACCATTCGTCCCCCCAATAGTTTACTTAATGAAGTAACCGGATCTGCTCAATGCTTGACCCCTTTTGGCTGTGTTCCAGTAACATGCGAGCTCCTATAGTTTCAAATTTTGTATCGAGCGTGTAACACAATATTGTACCGTCGTATCTGGAAGTCGGGCTGTGTATTAGATTTATAGTAATAACGTTTCGAGAGTCGTGACCTAGTGGTTTCTCCGATTCTAAAGACCTGAATAGTCGAACACAGTACGATTATTTACATCTAATTTGAACTTTAATGGCCAAATCATTTGTTTATGAATAAAAATCTGTTTTATTATTGTTAATTCACGGTGTTCTCAGGTACTGCTCGATCGACATTCTTTAACTCTTTAATGTTCAAAACATCGTGCTTCACTATTTCCTAGGTTTTATGCCTCAAAAATACAGCTGCTTAGTAGCTTAATAGCATTAAATATGATTAATTTCTTTCTCTTTCGCTTCATTTAAAAGTTTTCTCTTATTGTTGCAATGAATTAATGCAATTTCTTTCAACCAGCTCTAGGCCATAATTTTGACCTCCCTCCTATACGACATGGCATCTAGTGTTTCCTTTATCTGACCCATATAGTTATTCCTTGGTCTTCCCCTTCCTCTTATTTATTTATATTAATACGGAAAATAAGTTTCTTTTTATCATGAATGACTCGCCAGAATCCTAATATGAAAATACATTGATTATTGAGTATACTCAATGATCAATGTATCGCTATAGCGAATAAATCTTTTTGTTTCGCCTTTTTTACAATATACGAGTATACATTATTAAGAAACTCGCTCACTAATATCATAATTTTATCTTTTATTCTAAACGAGTATTTTACTCGTTCTTTGCCTCTATTTTTTAATGACTAACCTACATTTTCAATATTTATCGTAATTTCTATTCAATTCTACTAGTGTACTATTGAATTCAAATTCTGATTTCACTACGTCATCTCATCTATCTATATTTGTGCAAATGAAACGTCAAAACTTAAACAGTTCGTGTAATCTCTAACGTGAACTGAATCTGCTTATTTCGCTTCGCTAACAATGTCACGTAATAGCTCTAGTACCTATTAATTCAATAACCTTGATGAAACGAGGATGTCAAGGCAAATACGAGAGTAGATACGTGAATATGCTTAGAAGTTTAATAACAATATATAGACTGAAAAAGTATCGATAGCGATTAATGAAATAACAGCAAAATTGAAGATTGGTTTTGCAGACTGAGAATCAACAACCATTTATGACCGAAAAAACGAGAAAGCACGTTCGACTTTTCGTTTTTTTCACATACGCAATAAGCTAATTCAATTATTTATCTACGAGAAAACTGGACTGAAAATACATTACGAGGATTTTGCAGAAGGTAACAAAGAACCCACTGGTCGACTTGTTTAGTAGGTTAATTTCTTGATGGGACAGACTCGTGCTATAGAATTTTGTTTTGCATTCCAAAATTGTATGAAAATTATTTGTTAAATAGCGAAGGTATCAAACTCAATAAAAAGATTTCCGAGAATTTTCTCGTAAGTAATTGTAAGGGAAAACACGAAAAGAACAAAATTAATATCCACGGTTTATGAATTCCAATATCATTTTTCTATTTGAATTCCTTCTGCATATTTTCTCATTAGAAATTGCTAAATGTTTCTTTTATAAATATTAAGCTTGGCACCAAAAAGTTTACCTACGAGGATATAAATAAATCTTTACAGTTTGAAAGATTTTCTTCGTTTTGAAAAAGCGTTGAGAGTGCCTGACCGATTTGTTTCTGCCGGCAGTATATAAATAATAGCTTCTATTTTGTCATTGCCATGAAAAATGTAGAAGGTTTTTGCCTCAATTTAATATAAAGTAATAGCTTATTAATTCACTGAAAGATCTTAAGGGATAAGTAAAAAACTTGTGTTTTAGGAACTTCAAAAAAAGAAGGAGATTATCAATTCACCAGTATATATGCTAATGTATATATCTGTGTTATGATTTCTATGTACATATATTTTTTATCGTCAGGGAAGCAAACGAGCAGACGGTCCACTTGATGGAAAGCGGCTAATATCATCCATGAATACGACACCACGACAACACAACAATACAACACGAGAACAGTTACTTATTCACTGCCGACCCTTTAAATGTTTGTAGACACGTATTTTTAAATACCCTACATTATATTGTAAAGGGGATTACCAGAAGGAGACTTCGTATAAAAGTTGTTTGCTTAGGTACTTCTGTCCCATTTGTGTTTCAACCGTAAAGCAGCTGTGTTTGCCTGGCTGTATTTCGGTTTGAAGGGTGGGATATGGCGTGAATTTACAGGGTACAGAGGAATAACACCTAAGTCCTCAGAAATGGCAACGAATGGGGGGTATCATGGGCGAAACAGTATACTCTGTTATGTCCATGTTACTGCTCATGTCTATAGGCGACGGTTACCACTTTCCATCAGGTGGGTCGTCAGCTTGTTTGCCATTCTAAGTTGTATAAAAAAAATTATTGTAAAGGGAAAGTTGAAGATTGGAGTTCACTCCACAATCTAGATG